CCGTCGCCAGATTCCAGCTGGGTGGTGCATTTTAAAAATCCTAGATATTTAAATTTGGGGCGGTCGACGTCTGTCCAGCTTTGGTTTTTAGGCTTTAATGGCACGTGTTGTACGGAGCTGTTGTCAACTCAAGTTACGTTCACTTCATCTGTCTCTCCGCATGTAGCCCCACCCACAGCAGAACCCAGAAGAGTCCATAAATAAAAATTAAAAGCAGTACTGACTCTCAAACTGAGCTGAAATTAAATATTAAGTATGTTTTGGAACAGCGTCAGAGTGTGGAGGACGATAAGTGACTTCAGTATCAATACATAAATAAATTTATAAATAAATTAAAACAGAAATAAATAAATAGATAGGGAAATTAAAAAAGAAATTAGGAAAAAATAAATGTATAAATAAATACAAAATTAAATACGAAATTAAATATATAGTAAAATAAATGAACGAATAAATGTATGAATTAATAGGGAAATAAGTGTATAAATAAATACACAAATATGAATATAAATGAATAAATAAATGTCTGAATATCTACATGAATAAATTAAAAAATAACTATAAAAAAATAATTAGGAAAAACAAATAAATGAATGAATTTGAATAACTACAAAAATAAATAGGAAAATAAATGTGTAAAAAAATAAATATGGAAATAAATAAACACAGGTAAACACAAATAAATGTATGAATAAATAAATAAATAAATAAATATATGAAGAAATACAGGACTAAATAAGTAAATAGAAAAAAATAAATACATGTATAAAATAAAGGAATAAACAAATAAATACTGAAATAGGTAAATGCATAAGTAAACAAATAAATGTTGAAATATAATTGGAAAAAACAAATAAATGCATAAATAAACTTTTCTGTTTTTCAGTTTTTCTGTGTCTGTATGTTTTTCTGTGTCTTTGGTCATATTTCGTCCTCCATACAGACGCACCTGCAAATGAAAATTACTCATTTCTGAATGAGCAGGTATTTGTGTTATTTTTGGCACAGAAAAAAAGTGTTTTTGTTGTGGCCTGTACAATATAATAAAATACTTTTTAGCTTTCTTTCACTTTGCACTAACAGCACATATAATTATTATTATTAATAATAATAATGTATTAATAATATAACATATAGAATTAGTCCCATCAACGTAGTTGTTATATCCGAGGCACTGGCTCCCCTCTGCACATTCACACAATGATATTTACTGTGAGATGAAAACATGAATATAAACAAACAAAAAAACAATAACAACTAATATTTTCTTTCCCATAAAAACTGAACTTAAATACGCAGAAGCCTGAAAACATCAACATGTCACAGAGTCACTGTGTGTGCGAAGATACTGAGTGACAGTGTAAAAACTTTCTCACGCTCATGATGGAGGTTCAGTAACTGACGCAGCTTCTCACAGGTGCATGACGTGTCAGCTGTCAGTCTGAGCTGCGTTCACCGGCTGCAGTGAGCCAACGTGTTGATCTGATTTTAACTCAGCACTCATAGTGGGTTTGTGTCATGACGGTAGACTCACCCCTTTAGAGGGGATGTAGGCGTACGGCAGGTTTCTGTCCTCACACATGATGGGCAGGTGACAGTAGACGTCGATGGGCAGCGTGTCGCCGGCCAACACCACGATGCTGCGGAGAGACGCATCAATAACAACACAACAAGGTTCGTTTACATCAGAGCAGATGGTCATTAATATGTGAATATACATGAAGTGTGTGAGGTCATAGAGTGGCAGAAAAACATGGCGGACTCACCCTTTCTCTCCTTTGTTGATAAACTTCTGAACTTCTTTCACTCCTCTGCGGATGTTTTTCACTTTGGCAGCTGGAACAACAACAACAAAAAAAAGAACATGAAGACACAGTTTCAAACTTCTGTCCAAAAACTCGTTTTTACATCAACAGTGACGTCATGATTCATCCTGAATTCAAGAGCAGAATGATTTCAATCTGAACAGCAGAGCTTCACCACTGACTGATTAAACATGATACAGAGTTTTATTTCTTATTTTCCTCTGCTGCGGCTCAAGTCAGGAACGTCTGCCATTGATTTATTCAAATGCTTTTTACAACCTGATGAGACTTCCTCTGATAAAGTGGGTGATCAGTTCTAAACAATACATATTTCACTTACGGTATGAATGCCGAGTTAATCATAAGAGTCAAAAGATTCATATAATATGTTATTTGACTACGTATGATGGCTGTAATGTACGCTAACACACAAAAATGTGAAGATCTTTAGTTTTTTAATGCAGCTTTGGGATTACTTTAGTACAAACAACAGAAACTGAAAAAACTGGCAGATCTGCAGCAAACTGAATTCAATATTAACAGCAATCACACATTTGATTAACTGAATGTGACACAGTATCATTTTTCATATGTCCCTCTGCTGACAGCACGAGGCAGAAACCTGAGTAAACAAACCATTCAAACGTTTCCTGACAACATAAAGAGACTTCCCTTATAAAGTCACTGACAGTTCTTAACACATATTTCATTGACAGGATGAATGCCGAATTTATCATATCAGCTAAATGATTAAATATCATTTCATGACCTATGATGTCTGTAATACCTGCTGACACAAGAAAACTTTAAAATCCTAAGCTTTTTAACGCAATTTGGCATTACTTTACCACAAACCATTCAAACGTGTCCTGACATCAGAAGAGACACTGTTTACACTGAGAAAATGACCCAAACATCCTTAACTGTAAACATGTCAGTGACCTGTTGTATACCGAATTAATCATAACTATTTAAAGATTGTTTATATTTAATTCCACGACCTATGACTTCTGTAACACCTGCTCACACACAAGAAAACTTAAAAATCTTTAAATTTTTAACGCAGTTTGGCTTTACTTTATCACAAACAACAGAAACTGACTTAAACTGCCACAGATTTGCAGCGAACTGAATTTAATTTGAACAGAAAGAGACATCTGACTTATTGAACGTGATAGGGGAACTTTTTTTTAATGATCTCCCTCTGCTGGCAGCACGAGGCCGACGCCTGAGCAAACAAACCATTCAAACGTGTCCAAACGACATGAGGCTGCTTCCACTGAGAAAATGGCCCAAACATTCCTCACTGTAAAGATCTAACTGACATGCTGTATGCCGAATTAATCATAACAATTTAAAGATTCTTAAAATATCTAATTTCACTCCCTGTCACGTCTGTATAGTTTGCTGACACACACAAGAGAGTGTTAAAATCTTCAGATTTGCAGAACAGTTTGGCACTTTCTACATGAAAGTAACAGGAGCAAGAGACAGTGAGCGGTGATCAGAGACAGTTCGCAGCTCAGAGTCAATCACAGCTGTTCAATATTCATTTTTACCCTTCTTGACGCATTTGTAGAGTTTCTTGCTGAGTTTTTTGGAGGCCAGCGGCTGAGCGATCGGGTTCACGTTAGCGATCAGCTCCTGATAAGACTTCTCGGTGCTCTCGGCGGCAGCTTCCTCTCCGTCCGCACAAACCTTCTCCTTCTTCGTCTTCGTCATTCTGATCAAACTAAATAATCGATAATAGTTCAGTTGTATTTTTCTGATCAGATTTCTGCTCAGAACACGCACCGCGAGAGGAAACACACGTGTTTGAGTTTCTTCTTCTTGTTTGTCTGCGCTGAGAACACAATAGCGCCCCCAGCGGACCGGAGGTAAACTGACCTTTCAAAATAAAGGACATGGCTGATTGTGCTTCAGTGCAGTGTTTTATTATTACTGTTCTTTTTTCTTCTCTTTCACCTCCTGACTAATTTACATTTATATTTTCTGTGTTGCATCGTTTTCAATTATCAATATAGATGATGTGTGTATTATAATATATCTATATGTGTCGTCATTTTATCTTGTATCTTTGTCTTTAATTGCACTTGAATAGTTTCTATTTTTAGTCATATAGATTTAAAAATATCTTATATATATGTGTGTGTGTGTAGTTATTCTGTGCTGCTGCAACACCTGAATTTCTCCTCTGTGGATTAATAAAGGATTATCTTATCTGTGTTTGTATGCTTTTTCATCCCCTTTTCATCCGGTGACTTTGAAAGATTGAATTAACTTTGCATAAAGAACCTGATAAAACACAAAGGAGAAGTTTAGAAAATGTTATAAAATGAAAAAGAAAAATGTAAAAGAAAAAAAATTCAATAAAAAAATACCTAGACTTGTATCTGTTATAGATTTTCAGTTTAACAATCTTTTGGTTCAAATAAAAAACAAATCATAACATTTCTGACATCTTATACAAACAGAAAATGAGACACTTACTTTTGTTAAATGATTTATAAAAGCAGGATTTAACTTAATTCGAATTATTATTTTTTTTATAGAATAAAAATAATCAGAATAATTTTCTATAAATCAGTGAAACTACATAAACAAGAAATAATTTCTATTTGAATGATAAAATGAAAATTGATCATTTTTTATTTTAAATTTAATTTTCGACCTTGAGTCGCTGTTTAAAGGATCAGAAATAAAAGTTAAACTTCCTTTCCTTTGTGAAGTTTGTGAAATGTTAAGAAAAATATACAAACATCAGAACACCTCCATTTCTACTGGAAGAACATGTCACACGATCAAAAGCTCCAGAACAGCTTTAAATGGACCTTACACTGATTTGTGAAAAAAACAAAAAACAAAATAGAAACTGTTCTCAGAGTCACAGTTTGGTTTGTCTGACATATAATGTCTTTATTTATTTATTTACTTTTTCTCATTTTAATTTGTTTAAAAAAAAGATTTTATTAAATAAGAAGACTGGGGACTAGGTTAATTGGTAACTCTAAATTGTACGTAGGTGTGAATGTGAGTGTGAATGGTTGTTTGTCTCTATGTGTCAGCCCTGCGATAGTCTGGCGGCCTGTCCAGGGTGTACCCTGCCTCTTGCCCGATGTCAGCTGGGATAGGCTACAGCCCCCCCGCGACCCTCAAGAGGATGAAGTGGTTAGAAGATGAATGAATGAATGAATGAATGAATTAATTAATTAATTAATTAAAGTATTACAATATGTTGGGACAATAACTACAAAACATAATGGCTACATGAAATTCATAAATAAAAAAGTATAAAAAACATGTTTGATAAATATTAAAGAAAAAATTAACAGTGCAAATTAGATAATTAATCAATACATGTTAATAGATATGAACAGACGTTTGGTAAATATGTAAACAATACTGAACTGATTTAAATTAATGTCACACTGATAGCAAATAAAAGGAGTCACAGTGATGATGTCATCAGCGGTGGATGATGTCATCAGCGGTGGATGATGTCACCCAGCGTGGTGGGGAGTTTCCTCTTCTTCATCTCTCTGGACATCTGACACCAGACGCAGGGCGGACAGAAGGAGGAGCACAAACAGTCTCTGCACAGACTGCCCTGAACGCACCACAGACAAGTACTTAGTGAACACACTGCCCTGAACACATCATAGACAAGTCCTCATATCTGCTGCAAGTACCAACACCACACTGTAGAAATGCTCCATTACACCTAAAAGTCCTGCTCAAGGTTAAGTACAAAAGTATCATGTGTCAAATTTACGTCAGCAGTAAAAGTACACGCTGACTAATATGTGACATCATCAGATTATTATTGGATCATCAGTATCAGAGCAGCGTGTTCCTGTTGGAGCTGCTGCAGGTAGAGACAATTTGAAGTACTTTATATACAGTTAGTTTAGTCCAGTGGTTCCCAACCTGAGGGGTCGGGCCCTCCGAAGGGTCACCAGATAAATCGGAAGGGTCGTCACAATTAGTGAGAGAGAAGAAGAAGAAACATAGTTCTGATAGACACAGACAGACGCAGAGGACAGAGAGATAAATAAAGAGATCTGTCCTCACTTTAATGCCGTAGCGATGTCGGACGTAGACTCTCATGGACATGGTGAGGGGATGGACGCAGCCACAGCCACAGATGTCCAGCAGGGGGAGACAGAGATGGTGACCGTACTGGTTAGAGGTTTTACAGGCGAAACAGGGACAGCACCAGAACGCAAAGCAGCCTGCAAACAAACACACACATTAACACACATCACCACACAACATCAACAGTCAGGACAGAAAATTATAAACTTTCGATTCAAACAAAAATAAAAATCACATCTGTGTTGCGTCCTGAGATCAAGTAGCTTACTACAACTTCCAGAATGTTGCGCTAATCGTTTTAGCATTTCCCATCTATGTACGTTAAACGGTTAGCATTAGCTTTGCTACACTACTTTTTTGAGCTACTTATCAATTCAGTGATTTCATAGATTTGGTAGCATTCCCTAGTCTTAACACAGTCGCTTTCAAACCATGTGCAGTATGCAACTTCTGATAAAGTGTTGCAGCTGCTCTGACAATATTCAGTTACTGTCTGTGCTGCCGTTTGCAGCGTGAACCACCATATGGTACACGCATGTACAGTTGTCATGGTCGAGCTCAATATTATCTGATTCCAGTAACCAGCCAGTTGATTGGCGCATCTCTATTATTTACATTAAAAGTACAAAAAATAAAAAATAAATCCGAGTGTTTGGGGTCACATGGCACCTCATCAGGGGCCAGATTTGACCCAACATTTCTGACGGCTAACTCTTCTTCTTCTACTACTTTTAAAATTTAGTTTTAGTTTAGTTTTATCAAAACTAAGCAAAATTAAAACAGATTACAGCTCAAAAACGTACATAGAGATTAGTTACTGAATATTTAAAGCCGCTAACTGCTGGTGGAACTGTTGTGTAGCTAACTGACATTGCTAACGTTAGCATGCTAACATCTGAAGAGTAAAATGATGGAGTATGGTGGACATCTGACCTAAATAATACTGTTTAATAATAAATATTTTAAACTGTATTTCACTAAATGAACACAGCAAACCTCAAATTATAAAACATTGCGTTGATGACATATGTTAGCTTAGCATATGAAAATATTTCCCTCTCATTATAAACTGAAAACTACAAGCTATGACACAATTCTTCATGTGTTCACACAGAAATAAAACTACAGTTACCAAAGACTCATTTTCCTAGTGACAGATTTATACATTAATTAAAACCTTTATTAGCTGAGACATTTACAAAGTTTTATGAGGAAAGATTACTCGGTAAATCACGAGTTTGAAACTAAGAACTGAGAGAGGACGTCATGTTAAGACTGAGTGAAGGATCGATGGTCATGTTTTGGACTCAAGAAGAGTAAATACGTGGAAACACTGTGGAGATGAACTTTAAATATCATTTAACTGCTCTGATTGTCCCGGTTAGTTTCCTCCCTCTGTCTCTGAGTGACCTTTAACTAGTGTTACTGTTCGCTCCTTAATGAAATAATAGTTTGTGTTACTGTGTGACAGTTATACCGTACACTCTCTCATGTCGTTGCAGCAGTCACAGATCCCAGAAGCCCATTCAGCGTCATCAGAGGACAACACCAGAGGCTCAGGCTGCGTCAAAACGGGCCAACTCATCCTCACACCTGACACATGAAACACAATCAACCAGCTCACAGCTCTGTCACAAGTCACAGCTATATATACACACAGATGTGTATCAGTATTAGTACTCAGATCCTTTACTTTAGCAAAACTGACGGTGTTAGATACATAACAACAGATTAAAACCACAGAAGAAGAGAGAAAAAGCTCATAGTCTTACCTGAGAGACTGATTCAGCTGCTCTGATTGGATGAGGACGTCTCTCAGTGAGAGGAAGGTTTCAGATGAACCTGTCTGACCCGTCTGACTGGGTTTTTTAGGTAATGGTGTCGTCACCTTGAAACAATGTGGTAATTATTAATGTGGGACTGACACAATGTTCCACTGGAACCACTCATGTCCTCCTCTGTGTGAGACAGACAATAAAACATGTCTGTGTGCAGTTTAAAGATTCAAACACTAGATGGAGACAGACAGACAGACAGACAGACAGACAGCAGTCACTCTGGTTTTCCACCTTAATTTAATCATCTTAAATGACTTGTCACATGAAGACATAATTAATCTTTAATAACTTATTTAAAACAAACTGGTCAAAGTGCAGAATACAAACTTTCTGTCCATTCAGCTACAGAGCTACAGAGTTTTAACCATCAGTGTACAAAAGAATTCAAGCTGCGTTCGAGTAACACCTCGATGAGATGCCTGCCAGGCTGCAGACCACTGTTCCAGAACAACAAAACAGATTACACTCTAGCACTCCATTACTGCCTTTCCTGCTGAGATAATGCCATAAAAAACATTGCTGCATTTCCTGCCAGGATAATGACACGAAAAACTGTTGTTTTTCTATGATACATAACTGGGTTTCCTGTCGGGATAGTGCCATGACAAGCAGTTGCTTTTTACCAATACATCGCTGTGTTTCCTGCTGAGATAATGCCACGAAAAGAGGTTGGTTTTTACCGATACATCGGCACGTTTCCTGCCGAGATAGTGCCACGAAAAGCATGTTCTCTACCAGACATCACTGCATTTCCTGCTGAGATAGTGCCATGAACAGTGGTTGTTTTTTTAATGAAAAATCAGCACATTTCCTGTCAGCATAGTGCTACCAAAATCGGTCAATTTTTAACCAATATATCGCGGTGTTTCCTGCTGGGATTATGCCATGAATAGCGGTTGTTTTTTACCTTGACATCGTTGCATTGCTCTGAAGATGTTCAAAAGAGAACTGATTTAAGCTGCAGATTGTTTTTAGTTTTCTCAGCACCATAATCTTCAGCGTCAACCTGCTGTTAGCTGCACGTCACGGAATTCTAAGCTCAGTGATTGAATGTTTCTTGTTGAAACCTGGACACCTTCCACTGTTTGCTTTTTCTTGTAGACTTTTATCAGTGATGCAGAATGTTTTCAGTTCAGGGTCTCATTGTTTGTTGTGGTGATTCAGTTTTGCAATGCAAATTTTCCTTGAGGGCTTTCTAACAGAAAGGACTCTGTTGGTTAAGGTTTGGAAAAAAGTTGCGATTTGGGTTAAAATAAAAAGATTTCTGTCAGAAAGGAAAGAAGGAAAACTTCTCCCAAGTTTCACTCTGCCACTTAAAAAGTCATCCTGATGGCAGTTTTAGGGAGTCCAGGAGCCCTCGAGGGCAAGAGTTGATGTTTTTTGTCCGTGACTTGTCGTCGTCCTGTGTCCCAGGTCAGCAGGTCAGTTGGCGGAGCTTCAGGCCTCAGGGGCAGTACTCGTACTCGCTTCCATCCAAGCCTCCCTCTATCTGGTAGATGTTTTCCACAGCCAAACTTCGACTCTGGAGCTGCAGGCTCGATGAAGTCGCGCTGTACTGGACTGAACTGACGACCTGCTGCTGCTGCTCAGGCCTGAAAGACAGATTTAATATATTGTATTACATCATAAAGTTACAGTTACATATCAGTAATCACATTCTTGAATTTGATCTTTTTTAAAATCTCTTAGGTTTTTCTGGGTTATGTGTGTTACTTTAATAAAATAAACCCACATTTAAAATAAGCTTTCTGGTTATAATCACATTGTGGTAAAGCTTAACCCAGTTAGGTCGTTGGTCACGTGATGCTCCTGTTCAGGTTTTGACATTTACACTGTGACATTTCCGTCCGAACATCTTCAGCACGCTCTGTGAATCAGTCAGAGAAGAAACCGCAGAGGTTTCCTCTCCTCGCTTTCATCTCCTCGCTTTCATCTCAGATTCAAATTTTCTGTTTCTGGTAAAAGGAAACTTGCTGCAGCTTCAACATATCAGACTTTTCAGGAACATTCAGACTTTAATCGTGTGGTTAGGTCGTTAAATACGAGAGCTGGGGGGGTTAGGTTTCAGGTCTCATTCTTTATTCCCAGATAACTATTGACTATACATGACTACAACTGTTGTTTTATACTATAATGAGCTTAATGTATCACCAATATGTTGGTCAACATTGTCTCTATTTCCTTGACTCAAATAAGAAGACAGTTCAGTTTCATCTCTGCACAGAAAGTACAAAGATAGGACAGCTTTAGCCAAGCTTAGCACAAATGAGAACTGCTAGTCCAGCAAAGAGAGGAAAAAAAACCTCAAAACATTGTATCCTCATACAACGGCTTGTATGATATCTAAGATATTAGCGCCAAACATATTAGCGCACTATTGATAAGGTCAGTGTTGAGAAAAGAATCATAACTGCGCGAAAAGTAAATTTATGTAGGTTAGATTTAGGAAACAATCACGGATGGGTGTAGTCATGTTACAGATTTAATGAAAACTTACAAACTTAACATAAAGTTACGTAGGAAAGTAAAGTTACTCGGGTAAGGTTTAGGAAAGTGACGTTATGTGGGTTACGTTTCAGGAAAGAATTATGGTTTGGCATCATCACATTGCATATTTGACGTTTTATGTGTTAGCACTTGTTATTGACGAGGTATGTACCTAATGTAACGTGAAGATGTACTCTAAAAATAATTTCAATTTCACTTGGTTTCACACGGGACATAAACACCGGTCTCCTGGAGGAAAGGCACAATTCCGTGGGTTATGTACAAAGTCTGGTCCATTACTTTTCGTAGAAATACGTACGAACTGTGTATGAAAGCAGCCTTCTACGAGTCACGTCTTGTAGCTACAGATGTACGTATTTATGTGGTGTGAATGTGTATCGACTTCATAACATATAAAGTGCTCTCTGAGGTAAATCTTAAATTTTGTAGCTTTGTTCCAAAACAGATGAAGGTCGGAATCATATTTTGTCATCACACTCCTGTCAGACACAGGGAAACATTAAAAGACTCTTTAATTCAGATGTTGTGCAGGATGACGGTTTGAAGCTTTCTGTTCTGAGTTTGATCCACTGTCTCTGTTGGACTGGACTCTGACGTGTGGTCTATGGTTTGGGGTGTTCCCTGTTACCACTGAGTTTCACTTTGAACACAATGTGGCATCACTGAACCTTGTGAACATGATGCTGTCACGTAGGTGACGACAACGCAGTGAAGATGCAGAGCGAGATTCACAACCCTGTGGTAAAACTGCCGCCTCATCGTAAAGGCTCTGCTGAGTCACGATCCGTCATCAGCGCAGTTTGTTCCAACAACTCTGCGTTAACCACAACCTTTAATAAGCGTCTCTGAGCTGCTTCAAGGGTCCAAAAGCTGCCACACGTGAATCTATTCGAAGACGAATTTCGGAAAAGTCGAAGAAACAAGAAAAGAAGAAGTTTCCCAATCTGAATGAGTCATATTTCGAAACTTACATTTTGTTGAGTCGCCTTCTTCTGCTCACTGCGGAGACACAAACACATCAGAAATAGAAACATTAATGAGGAGAGAAGTTCACTTTTAACAAAGAGTAATGAGTTCTTAATAAATACAGACCTATTGGAATAACTGACATCAAATTATAATCATGTCTGAGTCCAGACACACAGACTGTCGCACTTTGCTTTGGATTGTGTTTTAGTAAAACATTTAAATTATTGTTTTAATACAACTGATATAAAAGATGTAAAACTAGGAAATTAAGACCCAAGTTGTAACAGACTGATATAAGAATGCTGATAAAATGCTCATTGCTATGAGATGTGTGTGTCAGAATTATGAGAAAACCTTTTTGAAAAACCAGAGTATTTTTATCATCATGAGGTTTGCTACCAAGCTGACATAAAGCGATAACGAGGAAGACGAGGAAAGACATGCAACAGATGTCTCTATCTGAACAGGAACTGGAGACACTGAGGTTCATGGTTGGTGCTGTAGGACACCAGGGCACCCATAAAGTTGAAGAGAAACTATAACTCCTGGTTTCCGATCGAGAAGTAAGAAAACCTTGTTCAAAACCCCACTGACATTTGTAACAACTTTAAAGACTAAAACTAGTCCTGTGAACAGAGACTTTCTCCACAGTGTGTCGTGAGGTTTCATATGTTTACATACAACTCTTCAAATATCGCTGTTCTGTCAGTGGATATACACGTCAAAATATGATGCTCTACCTCCTGTGAAGCTTTTAACATTAAACAAAGGTGTGTCAGTTCATGCTTGTCACGTTCATTGAGTACCTGCATGTCTTTTTTAAAACTACATTTATCATCTCATGGTTGTACGTCTCCACAAATCTGTCAAGTTGCAGTTACAATTCACATTCATGTACATGAAAACACACACATCTTCCCCCCTGACAGCACAGAAGATCTGTACAATCAGCACAGTCATGGCATTGAGTAACAGCCAGGAAAGTGTTTTTACAGAACATCATGATGTCACAGTGAAGCTGACCTTTGATATTTTGGATATAAAATGTCATCACTTCATTATTTTATCCTGCTAGACATTAGTGTGAAGTTTTGTCAGTAGTAGTGTATCAATTCTTGAGTTGTGGCCAAAAACATGTTTTGTGAGGTCACAGTGACCTTTGATCTTCAACCACCAAATTCTAATCATTTTAGTCCAAGTGGATGTTTGTGTCAAATTTGACGAAATTCCCTCACAGTGTTCTTGAGATATTGTGTTCACAAGCATGGGACGTACCGCCAACTGGAAGACACAATGTCTCCAACTATGGCTGTTGCCGGCGCAGAGGCAAACATACATGTTTTGTGAGGTCACAGTGACCTTTGACCACCAAAATCTATTTACTTCATTGTTGAGTCCCAGTGGACATTTGTGTGAAGTTTTGTCATTATTAGCATATGATTTCTTGAGTTATAGCCAAAAAAAAAGTTTTATGGGTGACCCAGTGACCTTGACCTTTGACCACCAAATTCTAATCAGTTCATTTTCTAGTCGAAGTGAATGTTTGTATCAAATTTGTGGAGAGAAAAAAAAATTCCCTCAAGGTCTTCCCGAGGTATTGCATTCATTAGAATAAGATGGGCAGACAGATGTACAGATGGACAACCTAAAAAACATAATGCCTCTGGCCACAGCTATAAACAGAGGCATAAACACGTGTTCTGTGAGGTCACAGTAACCTGGACTTTTGACCTTCAACCATCAAATTCTTATCAGCTCATTCGTGAGTCCAAGTGAACATTTGTGCCAAATTTGAAAAAAACAAAAAACAACCTCAAGGTCTTCTCAAGATCATGAGGATGAGAAGGACAGATGGATGGACAACCTGAAAACATAATCCCTCCAGCCAGGGCTTGCGCCAGCGCAGAGGCTTAAACAAATATTTTGTGAGGTCACAGTGCCCTTGACTTTTAACCTTGTGTAGTGTACTTTTGTGCCAAATTTGAAAAAAAAAAGAAAAGAAAAAGAAAAACAAATATGACACCCTGTTGTTTCATGTTGCATGACATTTGTGCCAAATTGCCTCTGGACATGGCTATCACCAGCGCAGGTAATACACTTTGTTCTGATATTGACTTTCTGAAGTACGTTGTTTTTAAAACAACTCGATGAACCTTTGGTTTCAGACTTTCTCGCTCTTTACACTACGGTAGTTGCCTGCAGTGTCAAAACTGCTGCTGTCTGATGCCTCTGTGTGTTAGTGTCTGACACCGCGGTCCACTGGCAAAGCGGCGGTATATGACGAGCTGGGAGTGAGAATGGGGTTTTGGATAGGGACATGTTGAATGCTGCTGCTCTGTGATTAGTTCACACATCTGTAAAAATGGTGGGACAGTTCAGTCAAATCGATCTGCGTCACCAATGCCTGCTGTGAACTCTCCACATGACCTCTTCCATCACAGCCAACTGACCGCTGGTTCCTCTCTGTGTTGAAGCAGGATGTTTGGCTGAACTCATTTCCACACACACAGTGGACATTAAAATTCCTTCTCTGTTGTTTGGGTGTGAAAATGTGAGGATGACCATGAACGCTGACTCTTGTACTTACCGATAATGAGAACTGTGCCTGCTGTGACCAAAGCGACCAACCCGAACAGAACACAGAGCAGAACCACATTTGTACTGCTGCTCTCCTGTAGGAAGTGATAAAAAGACACCGACAGTGGTAACACAACATTTTACATTTTTTATATTTATTCTTGTAAAAATGATTCTGAATTTCTCATGAAATGAAATCATACAAATCACATTAATATTTTCTCTCTAACCTTGGCCACGATGCTGCTGGAGGAGGAAGTTAGGGGGCAGTCAGTTGAGTTCACATGACCTGCGGGACAAGGAAATGAAAGCAGATGTTTTTAGTCCAGCTGTGTCAGCAGCGTGATGTCATGATGAAGGTTTAGACACAGACAGGGCTGGAGTTTTTTTAGCTATTGTCTTTAGTCTGAGTTTAAAGGTCAACGTGAACAGATGATCATTGCTGACAACACTCCGTCACTCTCTGTCTAAAGCACTCGCTGTATTTCCTCATCAGCGGTGACACAGATGAAGTCTGCACCTAGTTTATCGTCCACAGAACAAGGCTGCATGGCGACATTTTCAGAACAAAATAGAACAGGCTGCAGTGAGAGTCTCTCTCCATGGGATATTTAAAAATAGCAGCTTTGTGCATTTAGTCCTTCTCAGGCAAGCTCAGGGGTTTAGTGTTGCTGTAGCCCACAGGAACGATGCTCTGTGAGGCTTTTTTTCCCCTGAGGATTAGAATATATGCTGTCCTGGCTGAAATTAATATATATAAATGCCTGAAGTTCCACTCATTACTAAAAGTATCTGTCATATAAAAACTAAAGTGATGGTCAAAGTTGTCACAGTGAAAATTAAGGTGTGCTGATGGATTCACATCATCAACTCATGCACTGAGTAACATAACACGTTAACGTTCCACCTTAAAAGTTGCTGGCAGTCGGCCCAGTGAATGAAGTTATTGTTTCTCAGACTCCAGCTGCTGTGAGAGGCAGCAAAACATCTTTTCATTTTATAGTTACAGTTTACTAATAAAACTCTCCACAGTATGAACAGTGGTTACATGAGCCTCAAAACCAGACACAACTCAGCCCTGAGCAGAGTGACCGTCCTCTACTGACCAATCAGACTGCAGTGTTCACAGCTCCACCTTTTAGTACCAGATCTGTGTGCTAAGTACCCCAACAGAGGGGGGACTGAACATGGGGACGGTAAGGAACGGTTCTGTTGGTACCATCCACAACTTTTCACTGTGGAAACAGAAAATAAAGTGTACTGAACTGAACTGTACTGCTTGATGGAAACGGGGCGTTGTGACTGTGTGTTGTACCTGTTACATCTTTGTCTGTCGTCTGCTCTGTAGACGTCTCTGTTTTTAATGTTGTCGATGTGGTCGTCAGTGGAGCTGAAACAGACCATAATTGTAACATTAGCTGCTATATAATGAACTCAAAGCGCCTCAGTGCTCGTCAGATTCACCTGGAACACTAACACCTCACCCAGTGATTGCTCAGGTGTGTGCAGGTGAGAAAGGAGGTGGGGTTTTAAATTCTACCTCAGCTCACTTTTCCATTGTATTCCTGTCACTTTGAGAGACAGAACAGATTCTCAGATTTGTCACAATAGTAAAAGTTAGTGATAGACGAGGACCTGCTCCCTATGTAGATATAAACGTCTCATTCTGAGATAACAAAAACACGATTCTTATTTTCAGCTGATTAAACACTAAAGAAAACACACTAATTATATTATGTCCCCCTAAATCCTCCACACTGGAGCTTTAACATACATCAGAGCAGCCAGAGGGTGATTGCTGGTTTCGTTTTTATCTTGTCAGCCATTAATGACACAGTAGATCTTGGGTGCTCTGACAGCTCTGTGCTTTATTTAAAGGGGTAGGACACTCATTTTCAACATTCATACATGTTATTCCTGTGGTTTAAGCGGTGGTTCCCCACCTGTCCAGTCACAGGGTCCAGATTTGTCCTTCGTCATTAGTTCAAGGTCCAAACAGTTAAATAAATTTGGTGTCATACTTGTGTTTGGTCATACCAATGAGCTAGTTTACTGTCTCTGTTGTCCATTATTCACTTGCTCTACAGCAGGAAACAGCACTTCAAAATAAAAGCTCTGCCCTGGAAATTCACTGTTCTTCAAAATAAAGTGTGTTATTTTACAAAGCTGACACATTTGCAAGTCACTTGTGGTCCATTTAGAATGGACCTGCAACCCCCCATTTGGGAACCACCGATCTAAAGCCCAGTTCAGACCAAAGATTTGTGACAAGTCAAATCTGAAACAAGCAACTACTTGCAACATGCCATTGTGCAGTGTTCTAAAAAGCTGCTGGTTCACAGGAAGTGACCACGATGAGACGGTGTATCATCTCTAGTCAACAACTCTCTGTACTTCTGATCTGCAACGTTGACAGGAAATGACCATGATGAGACAGTGTATCATCTCTAGTCAACAACCAGCACCAATTCATCAGTCAATGAGAATGTGTGTATGTGGGCGGGGCATAAGTACATACAGCCAGCAGCAGCAGCGACCCACCGTCTGACACCGGCACACTGTGAGGACAGAAACAGAAGGCTCGGCGGGGACGGAGCACCTGCTGCAGCAAGCCAACATGCCGTTTGTGGTCATTTTGACTTGACCAGAGGACTTCACTACAAGCTGACTGGCTGTTGAAACAGGTGACGTGCTTTATAACCAGCCGCCTGCCATTTGACCAGCTGAGTGTCAGATGACACCATCAGCCATCTTGAGTCGAGTTCAGACCGGCCAGTTCACACCGCTGACACTTTTCTCTGCTAATAGCGGTTTTGTCTTGTCGAGAATCTTTGGTCTGAACTGGACTAATGACAGTCTAAATATATTGATAAAAAAAACTTTCTCTTAAATCCAAACACTGAAGTGCTAAAACTCAAATCTGTGATGTCATAGGGTATAAAGTCTAGAGCTGCTCCTCAGACAATGAATTGAATGAATGAAAGATGACACTGAGAGCAGCCGGGGGACAAAGAATCGATATCATATCGTCCCGTCCTAGAACGTCAACAGCGGACACCAAAGGACACCTAGCGTGTCATATGTAGGCTACATGTATGTAAGTCCACTGACAAAGCAGTGATACATGATGACATGGGATCAAAGGACCCTGATTAGTCCTGACCACACAAACACATCATCTGAAGCCTGGCAGGACAGATTCTCATGTAATCCTGTGATGTTGTGAGAATCCAGCTGCTGTGCAAGGTGACCAGTGTGCTTCCTGTCTGTCAGCTTTGTTTCCTGAAAGCAGAACATCAGAGATACTCTACCAGCCTTTTAATAACAACATTTGCACAAAAACAAAAGAATCTCTCACCTTCCTCGATGGTCAAATCGATATGATATTTTAGATCATTGAATAGCCCGGGTACCGCAACTCTGCAGCCGTATCTTCCAGCATCTGACTCTGAGACGTTCAGTATCGTCAAGGAAACATCTCCTTCATCCTGTCGTCCCAGTAACTGATACCTGCTGGGAACTCTGCTTCCTTCTTTAACTTTCTGTCCATCAGTGGAGATGAGCTGCTTGTTGCAGCCAGAGTTTGGTATTTCTCCTCGACCCCAACAAACCGTCAGCACGCCATAATATTTGATGTCATAAGTACAGGGCAGAGTGACGTTTCCATGTAGTTGACCGACAACTCTGCTGCCGTCACCTTCACTGACTGTGGAGACACAAACAAACACTCAATGTTTTCACTTGATGTTACTGTTACTGTGTGTAACTCTTGAGTTATATCTTGGCTTTGATGTGTCAAGTCAAATTTGGCACACAAGACAATAAAGACTGAACTGACAGAAATAAAAATAAAACCCTCAACATGTTGGTTTTGTGCCCTTCAAGTTCAGTTCACGCAGTTCAGTCGATACACTACACCCTGCAGCCGACTGATGTTAAACTCTTTGAAACCTACGCCCTCAAATTAAGATCGTCTTCTTGACTTTAGACTTTGACTTCCAGTGGCTTAACAGTGGATCTATATGGCAAAACCACAGGTCATAGAGCGAGAGAGACATTTAGTGCTAACTTTAAGCATGTTTTACCACGTGAGAATAGGACTGGGCGATATAACGACTACAAATGATATATTGATATATTTTCAAGCAAGATATAAATTTAGACACGGTTTATATCAATACAGGGTCGAGTTGCTACATGAGCCATACCAGTGTTCATCTCTCTCTCACACTCCCACACACTCACTCAGAAGTTCTCCAGTAACATGAGGCCCGTTTCCACTGAAGAAGTTCCTGGTACTATTTGGGGGGCAGGAACTACTACAGGAACGTCCTCTCGTTCGGCCCTCTCAACCGCTTTGTCTCCACTATAGAGCTATAGCCTGACGTGCTACGACTTTGAGGAACACCACAGGAAAATCCATGCTGTGATTTGGAATCAAAAGCTTTTGATATTTGTGGGTTTCTGTAAGAGTTGCATTTTTCAGCATTTGGATGGCAAGCACTTCTTTTCTGGAAACTGCTGAAAAACTTCCTTATTGCTTTGAAAGCCATCCATCCTCTGAATGCCCGAGGTCTCTAGTTTGTAGCTGTAAAGTTTCATGGGACTGTGATGATCCCAGAGGTCACTATGGGTCATTTTATACATAGAGAAATGGTTTCACTACAACAAAATGGCTGCTGAGGAGGCTAAGGTCATCACATATGAACAAAACTAGGCTCACTGAATCCACAAGAGTCTCATCTTTACAGTCAGACCAATTTTGTAAATCCAATCAACTTCTGACATGGTGGCTGGGGACAACAATGAGCCTGTTAGTTACATGTTTTTTGCACAAAGTATCAAAACTGTTGTTGAATAGCAGCCGTCAGCATTCGCTGCATAGCTAACATGCTCCTAGCTACGGCAGCACATTTTAAAAAGCATTGACATTGTGGCGCAAATTTGGTTTATGTGTGGGCGGCGACAGTGGTCAAATGTTGGTAATAATGCTGTTTGCAAGTCACCGTTTAAAAGAAGAAGAAATGGTGGTTAAAAAAACCCTTGTCACTTCCAGTACGCACCAGCAAGTTTGAGACAACACTACCTTGTTGAAATCAGTGCACCACACAGGAAGTATGTTGTGTACATAGTGAACTATGTACTGCATACGAAGTAGGTCTATGCAGGTTGAGATAAACTGTAAGACACTTGTTTTGTTAGTGAACCTTGTGAGTTACAATAAAGCTGGATTTTACAACATTAGTCTTTAAAGATTTTTTTTGGGCATTTTTAAGCCTTTAATTGATAGGACGATGAGTGTGAAGGGGGAGAGAGAGAGGGAGTGACATGCAGCAAAGGGCCACAGGCTGGAGTTGAACCTGGGCCGCTGCGGCAACAGCCTTGTACATGGAGCGCCTGCTCTACCACTAAGCCACCAACACCCCATTAGTTGGCATTTTTATCTCTATATCTGCACTGGGCACTAATAAACTGTTTTTATATTGTTGCTAGGGCTGCACTTGTTTTTGTTGTCAATGTCTGTTTTGGTAGTTTTATTGCTAAGATGTTTTTTAGTGTTAAGTGTCTGGTTTTAGTGATAACACCTTCTCACAATATTTATTTTTGCATTTTGCACCAGAGATCCTGAAACACTCTCATTCTGCTCTGCACACAAATGTAAAGCAAAATGACAAAAAACTGAACTTAATTTAATTTAATTTAATTATTACCTTTGTTATATGTTGCTGATGTTCCTGGCTTCATAAGAAAACTCTGCTAGCCGCTAGGCTAAAATGCCATAGGCTTGTGCTAATAACGTTAGCATGTTGTATTTGTGGGAAAATGTGTGTTTTGAATCAGTCAAAGTTTGCAGCACTTGACAGAAACTGCTCATTCCTTCACGGGGAACAATAGCTTGACACGTTCAGGACCTGAATGAATCAGAGAAAGACACTGAACTCGGACTCCTGAAAAGTGACAATGCCGTCACATTAACCAGATCATTGGACATCCGTGAGTTATTGAAATTATATCAGAGTACCTAAACTTCCTCAACAGTAGCAGTGTAATCCTTGCAAACAAACCAACAAACAGTGTATTTTACAGAATAAGCACTGTGACGTGGTTCATGGTTTCAGACATCACTGTTGTAGCTGTCCAGCTCTGATTTGAAATAAATAAATCAAAATGTAAAGATCGTAAATAAAATTTCTTTGCATTAATTTGATTGCCAATCAAGACACTCTGGTAAGAATTAATTTACCTCATTAATATGGACCTCCAAACTGCTTTGAAATGCAAAATAGTGGAATTTTATGCAGTTAAAAATGTGATTAATCGCAAAACTACTGAATTTCAGAACTTAATCGAGTTTAAAAAAATTAATCATTCAACAGCCCCAAAATAATAATAATAATAATAATATAAATAAAAAATAAGCCTTCAACAAAAGAAAAAGTGCAAAAAATGCAATAAAAATTTGGTTTGGAGGATAAATGTGTTACAAATTAATAACTTTAACAAGAAACAGAATTATTGTCAGTAACAGATGTTGAGACCTGAGCTGGTGAAAATAAAGTTAACGTGGAGATGAAACCTCGACAGACGGAGAGACGTTCAGTGACCTTTTCCTGTTTGATCAGTTTTAAATCAAAGACAATGAAACAGTGACAAATTGAATGTAAAGTTACCTGTGAGCAGAGCGAGGAGCAGAACGAGCTTCATCATGAACACACTGACAAACTGTCATCACACACACACATTTAAACGCACAGCTGCTGCTGACACACTGTGAGTCACCACCTCTGCACACTGTAAAAAATCTCCCACTGCTGCTTTAAACACACACATACAAAAAAAGAAATGTAGGAACAGGGTCTCTTCCTGTGCAAACACCTGTTGTAGTTTCAGTATCATGAAACAAAGGTGTTGTTATTGACTAATAAACAGCTTCATTTGCTGGGAGAATTCATTAAGAAAAATCAAATGATGACTTTGTGTCTCGTTATTTTAATAGTTTAAGATACTATGTCAGAAAATGGAACTAAGTCAGTGCTTCACAAGTAACGTTAGTCTCAAGTCTTTGCACCCAAGTCCCAAGTCCTAAACTTTGAGTTTTGGGTCCTAAATCCTAAATGCCTTTTAAAATTTGTAATAATAATACATTTTAGAACTTTTCATTTTACCCAAAGACACTTTACATTAGTTAGAAATGATCATAAAATACACACGTTATTCACTCATTAAAAGCCATTTTGAAAAGCTGAGTTTCGATGAGAGACGTGCAGGAGAGGTCGGTGCAGTGTTTGGGGACAGAGTTGCAGAGGGAGAAGGCGTCTATGGAGAAGATCCAGTGTTTGGTCCTGTTTGGTGAAGTCAGGAGGTCGGAGGTCATCAAAGGAGCGGAGACTGCAGGAAGGGGTGTGGCAGGTAGGAGGCCGTTCAAGTGATAATGGACACCTTGAAGGGCATTATCCTGCTTATACCATGGTCACTTACCAAAGAAATAAAAAGTCAGAATATTCATTCATATTGTTATGCTTTTAGCAGTCAAACTCTAAAGTTTTTCACAGGCCATAACGTGGTTCCCGTAGAAACACCTGAGGGTTTACCTAATACCTGGAACAATCAAATTCCCTGTAAGGTTCTTGTGCAATGAAAATGTTATTCATTACTCCATTAAATAGGATGGACCTTAAATACAACCTAGCAACAGGATATGTTCTGGTCCATGCAGCTCATGCAACCCTCTGGATCAGCCATTAGTGCAGAAAGCTAACATTATGCTAACAAGATTCAAAGTCAGTAACAAACAGTAAATATAATTTGACAGTATGTTTAACAACAAGACAGCGAGCTGTCAACCATGTCCATCATGATTTTCACGAACAAACAATTCGCCTTGAGTAATGTTACTTTTGGCTGCAGCTAAAAGTGGCGAGTAGAATAGCAGACGGGATGTCAGATGACTGTTGGAGTTCAGAGGGGCAGTGTCGTACCTGCAGGAAGTGTTACAGTCTCCATCCTGTGGTATTCAGAGGACGAGACTCTGAAGGACAAACATTACTCTCTAACGACACTATTATGTAGCCGACAGGTTAATTTAGAGCAGTGAACACAGTTTCACCAAACTACTTACTAGGTGTCCATGATCAGTTTTTATCAGACATCCTGCAGCCAATCAGAATAAAGTCTTCACCAAGCCCACGGGATATGGTTTAATAACAATGAGCCAAAGTGATGAAATAATATCTCTCCTTTATGACCTTCTTATTGTCATAAACATTTTGTCATAAAATGTATTTTTTCCTTTGTAGCTTTTCATCTATCAGTATTTCCTGTCAGGAACAAACCACTGTCACATCATCATCATCATCACAGAGACAGAAGGAGCCTCATTTTTAGAAATAAGGGAACTATGTGACAGGACGCTCATGTCATCAGATACCAGACGACCTCAAATGGTATTCTGTAGTGTGTCGCTGTGAACATGTGGAGCAGATGAGCGCGGTCAGCACATGACTTTCTGTAGCATGAGGTGTCGGCTGCTTCCTGTTTCTGAGCCTCGGACTTTCGCTTCAGCAAAAGCTAAAAGAGGACAGCTGAGCTCCACACTGCAAGAAATATCTGCAGCTCCATCTCCTCCTGACTACAGACAACAATTTCAAAATTAAAACATTTATAACATGTTTGAAAAATCTTTTAAGAGTGGATATTTAATACCAACAAAACCAATTCTTTTATTAGTTGTGACGTAAAGTTTGTGTTTAATACAGTCTACAGTGCCCTCTAGAGGCTTGCACTCGCACTTTTAACTCAAAATTGCACTACTCACTTCTTTCGTGCCGCTGAATTCACATATTTTGCGTTGCATCCATTGCGCCGACCTGTGGAATTTCGCGTTTAGTCATGTCTTTACATATAATTCACTCACCTGAAGTGTTTTATTCACGTCTGGTGTGAACACAGAATCAGGAACTGTGTTTTTTCTGGATAAAAACAGGACCCCTGCCAATCCTTAAAAGTCTTAAAAGGCATATCATTTCTTTATCTAAAAATAAGGCCTTAATTAGTATCAAAACGTAAATCAGCCATTAAAAAGTCTTAAAAATGCTTAAACATAGAAAGTAGAAATTTTGAAATCTTTTTATCCTGTCTATGCGTTATAAAATCTTCAAATAATTGGTTACTTCAATGAAAAAAACAACAACAACAACAACAACAACGTAATGCCTCTCACATCAACACCACCAAAAATGTTTTATGTTACAATAAATACTTGGCAAAATGTCGATTCATGTGTTGTTGCTTTTTTTAATTTTGGTTTTGTAAAATTTGTCTTCACTATCATTCAGAGCAGTTTGTTTACTTCTCCCTTTCACTCACTACGGTAGCACTAAGGGGGAATTTATACTTCTGCATTGAATCGACGCCTTAGCTACGATGTAGGCTCCACATAGACATAGAACCTATGCTGTTACCTGACGTGCACCTCCCCAGAAATCTAACAACACGTCCTGGCGACACAGACCTCCTGTTTCTGTAAGCTGAAACCATTTCCCTCAGTGGAAACAAAGCTTGCCATGCCATAGGCAATGGAGAAGAAATGTCTTTTTAAGTGTAAGTGAAAATTGTTTAATCAGAAATTGAATATCATATATATCAAAATATGAACTGACACGAAGCTGTGTTTTTGCTATTAATTTGCCATAGGGAGTGATGAGCAGACGTTCAACTTTATTAAGTTCAGAGCGGAGAATGAGAGGCTGTTCACAGGGCACAGAAATGCCTCTTCCCAGGGATATGAGTAAGTTATCATGCCCATAGCATGAGCAAACAGGTTTGTTATTTAAGTGTTTCATTCAAAGTGATGTAGGCCTAATTGATGAACATGTGCCTTTCAGTGAAATTATCACAATCATGGGGCTGGAGGGGAAAGTCACTCCGCAGCAGTGGAAGAAGAAGTGGGAAAATCTGAAAAAAAGATACAAGGTAACAGCAATTTCCACATTTTATGTAGCCTAATGCTTTAACTGTATTAATGACACTATTCAATGAATGTCTTGTAGGCCTATATAAAACCATGTTATTATGTTAACTATTATTACCCTTTATAATATAAAACCACATTATATTAACTATTATTACCCTTCATAATTTTAACTATTATTACCCTTATATATGTGTGTGTATATTTCCCTCTGATGATTAATAAAGTTATTCTTATTACAATTTACATAGGACTTAACACTGCCAAAAACAAGGTCAGGGACAGATGTAGGAGAGGTCACTGCTGCCTCATGGACTTTCTATGCAGCAATGCATGAAGCCATCGGCCAGAGACCCTCAGTCAGGCCAGTCAGTCTGTTTTCATCTGGACCATCTAGTGTAGAGAGACCCCAGACACAGCAATCCTGCAAGCAGGAAACTTCCCAGACTCACAGACACATGGCAGTGATCAACCAGGTACCTCAACAGAAGTTAGACCAGGAAAAGGAAAGAGTACTGTAGAGTACTTTAAAGAGTACTGCACGCGCCTTGAGAAAACACAGAAGGAAGAAAATGAAAGGGATAATGCTTGGCTCCAAAACTCTCAGCAGCAAATGGACAGGATATTAGATTTGTCTGGAAAACTGGTGGGCCATTTGACAGAAAGGTAGAAATTAACTTCCTGCATGCATGGAGTTCTGTTCTGTTGTTTGCTTTTTATGAATAATATTTACTGTTATACAACAGTTAGTTCCGGCCCTGCAATCTGATTGGTCGAGAGACAGTAAAACGGTGATGATACTGGAGTACAACATCACGGTTATTTCACTGTGTATGTATCACTCCGCCTCACAGCTGATTGCAATCAACAATCAAATCAAAACTGACGGTTAGTGTCAGTTAGGTCAGCAGTTGCGTTGTAGGCTAATTCATTCATCCACTGTCAAACAGCCAAAAATATGGATTTATTTCCTAAAATAAGTTTTGAATTGAACTATGAATGGTCATGAGGGAGAGGAGAAGCTGAATCCATCTGAGCACACATCCAGGTTTGTCAGTGTTAGGGTGACCATATTTTGATTTCCAAAAAAGAGGACACTCGGCCGGCCACGACATAGCCTTTAAACCCTAAACCCTAGGCCTTTAAACAGCGTCGGTCCCTTTCGCACTTACGCCCCTAACTGCACTTTTGGCAAGTGCACTTCAGGGAAGACCTCAGGGCGCAAGTGCGGGTATTTGGACAGGGCCGCAGTTGATGCATTCATTGGCAGCCTGACCAAACGAAAATAAAGTTTGACCTTCGTGATTATTTTAAAAAGAAAAGAACAGGTGAGAAGCTTGGATTTGACTCATGCCCAGACAAGTGATGTGATTTCTCACACAAAACTTGAATGTTGCAGTGGCTGTTTCCACAGAAATGCCTTATTTAGCTATGCTACTGTTAGCCTAGGCTATTTTGTGATAGAGCTAACATTCAGCTACCCAAAGTGAAGTTAAATTGACCAGCTAGGCAGCTAGCTAACTGCAAACTTTACCTGCTTTTCTGTGCATACCTTGGTGACATCTGGTTATGTTGTAGGGCATAACTTGTTTGATAATTGGAGTAGAAAAATAACACTGGTATCATTTGTTGTTTGATTATAGTCAAGGTTAAGGTGTCCTGCAATAATGTCCTTTGGATGGTGTACATTTTGTGAAAGTCGTTGTGGGCATGATGTGTGCAGACAAAAAAAATC